AATTATTGATTCAGCCATATATGATAATAATCAACTAACCAGTATATATATACTGTCATTGACTTTATTTTTATTTTATTGAAAAATGAGGCGTATTTTCAATTTTTTTTTCATTATTATTATATATTGTATTATGATTGACATTATCATCATTGTAATGATCGACTCTATCTTGCCATTAATTTATCAGTCTAGAAATAGTTTATGTGTGTGTGTGTGTGTGTGTGCGAGAAATAGATTTGCCAAATCAAATTTTGTCCGTTCATATATGATGATGATGATGAATGAAATGGAATGAACGAAACAAAATAATCACGAAAAATAAAGGTGTCTTGTATTTTTCTTTCTATTTTTTTTCTCCTGACAGCTTTCATACAACAACAATTGAACACAAATAATTATTTTCTAGGAAATTTTTCCACTATTATTTATTTATTTATTTTTTATCTTTATTATCATTATATAATATTGTACAAGCTAATCAAATTTATCAAAGTAATAAATTATAATAATAATGGAAAAAAATACCATAGAAGAATATTGGTAGAGAGATTGCCCATTTCAAATGTCAATCAAAATCAATCACAGATTGATTTATACTCTAGAATGTTTATGTATATTGCTCACATATTATTCCATCATTATCAATGATAATTAGAATTTGAATGGAAATACAAAAAATAAAAATAAAATTTGACCTAAACATTGTTAACAATTTGAATGAAGAATTGTGAAAAAAAATAAAGAAAGAAAACAACATTTTACTTGTACAAATTAATCAAACACACATGCATACAGTTTAGGACAAGTGTATGATATGGGTGGGAAAAAGAAACGACAACAACAATTCTTTCCATGCATCACTATCCACTTTCATACATATACAATAACATTATTTGTCATTACCGCCATAGTATGGCCATTGGGCGATATTTTATTTTTTTTATTTATTTTAAAGAATGATTTGTGTTCGTTTATCACTTGAATTGATTGTTCATTGAATTTCAACAAAGCTGACAAAAATGATATTATTTTTTTTTTTTGTTTTGTTCCTGAACTTTTACATTCTTTTTTTTCACCAATTTCTAAATGTCTCAATGCTTGCAGTATTATTCATTTGCAATGAGATAAATTTCTTTTTGATTAGAATCGATTTTAATTCTCTTGTTTGTCACAAATTTTTAGCCTATCATTGATCATATGAAAGAAATTTATTGATGATCTGTATCGAAAAAAGAAGAAGAAGAAGAAGAAAACACATCATAGATAGATAGATATATATATAGTTTCCACCCAAATTTTCTTAATTTGCTTTGATTTTTTTTTATTTCAATGGCGAGAATTTTTTTATTTTTCGAAATATTTTGCACAACTTTTTTTTACAAATATACCCAATATATTAATCTCGAAAAAAAAGGTCTCCATAGCCATTACGGTAATGGACTAAAAAAAAAAAAAGAAAGAGAAGATAAATGACATTTGATAGCAGCAAATAGCAAGATCTTTTTTTTTGCTTCTTATTTTTGATGATAAGCACATAAATTTAACCTCTTCTCATCTTTTAATCTGATAATTTAAGCAAAAAAAAAATTTGTGAAAATTAATGTTTCTGGAAAAAAAGTTGGAAATTTTTTTTTCTTCCAATGGACAATCATTGATGATTAGTCAAAATATCCGATTAAAAATTGCCCACGAAAAAAATGTCAAACATATGGCCAATAGCTCTTGACAACAACAACAACAGCAACATCATTTCCATCGACAAATTGATACAATAATATTAAAATCGATTATCGAAATGAGAAGAAAATTTAGCCAAATTATTCAGTCATATATCCTGTCCACCTCTTCAAATTTTTGTTGTTTTTTTTTTGCAAAGTTTATAATAATAATAAACGCATCTAAGTAGTTTTCAACCTACACAAATACAATAACAACAACAAAAAAATTAATGATGAAAATTACGATTTATAATGATTGTGGTGGAATTTCATTATTGCATAATCAATTCTTTTTCATTCACTAAATTCATATTGACATCGATGATGATGATGATGATGATGAATATTGAATGATCAAATCAACCAAAAGTGTTCATTCGTTCGATACAATAATATTCAACGGTGAATTTTCTCTGTTGAAATATGGCATATCATCTGATTAATGAATAAATGAGTCTCAGAAGTATGGTAGCTGAATGGAATGAATGAAAATTGAAACTTTTTTCAACAACAACAAAAACAGAGTATAGCCTTTCTTTTTTGTTGTTGTTGTTGTTGTTGTTAATGTTTTTGATTTCATCAACCTATTGACCGATTGATGACAAAGTATTATCATCATAAAGTAATCAACGGTATTGTTCGGTAATTTTTTTTTTAATTGTGAAAAAATTTAACAATTGGTATTTTGTCCATTGGTTCATAGATATATTGTTATTATTTCTCTCTCTCTATCTCTCTTTTAATAAAGATGATGATGATATGCCAATGGCCATATTGATGACCATATTGATGATAATAATAATGATTATGATTATCATCATCAATTATAATCATCATTGAACTCTAGAAATAAAAACTTTCTATAATATAAATAAACAAATATTATATAAATCTTGATATATAAGGGTCAATATATCAGTAGTAGTAGTTGATTGATATGAGGTTATTTGTTCGGCCCTATCATCATCATGATAAAAACCAATGATCATTATTATTATTATTGCGAGAATTGATGATGATATTTCAGTCTGTTTGGTTGTTGTTATCCGGCACATTCACATTTATTCATTTTTTTTGATATCAGCCAATTTCTTTTTGTAATAATAACCATATCGTGATTTATTAGCCAGAACATATCCGATATACCCAAAATGGCACACACATATGAACATACACACACACACACACACACTTGTCGCCAATCATGATCATCATGCTAACAACGAGGTTATTTTGACGAGTATCTAACTAAGATCATCATCATCATGATGGCAGATCAAAAACAACAACAACAACAGGTATTATCGTAATCATAATCATCTTAGTCTTTTTTTTTGATATTCGAAATTTGTTTTTTTTCTTATGAAAAAATTTCTTTTCTTTTATCCATTCATTTTGGGTAACAAACATTCCACACTTTTTTTTGGTATAACTACGATGCTGTTCAGTATGGTAGTAGTGGTGATGGATTTCGATCATATATGATTTGTTGATGTTGTTTGTATATAATTGTGATGATGATTTAAAATCAAATAAGCCACTTGGCCACACTGTTCAACAAGCTTTGATTATTATTATTATTATAAATATACATGTTTTTTGGCTAATGATGATGAGATTTAATAGAAGAGAGAGAGAAAAAAAAGAGATAGAGAGAAAGGATGAAAAAAAACGATGACTGCAAAAACAAAAAATTATTCGATTAGCAATATATTCAACACATTCGAATATTCGATATATTTTGGCCTTTAAGGTATTCAATGGTATCATCCAAAATGAAAGCAAATTATTTTTTTTTTTTTCGCAAATTTTTTTCTCTATATGTAGTCATCATTGATAATGAGAAGATATATCCTATGTCTAGTCTGTATGATTTACCTGTTGAGAAATCAATGTATATTATAATATATGAAACAGAAGAAGTGGAAAAAAATATATAGTAAATTTATTTTTTTTTTTTTCATTTTTATTACCCTTTCTGTGTTCATATATTGTATACAACATATTCATGTGTCTTTCTGTCTGTATAAATTCATTATATGCTGAAACTATTTTTTTTTTTCCCTTTAAAAGTCAGGCTAGATGAATTGTTATTTCCTGATATTGAATGTGTGTGTGTGTGTGTGTGTGTGATTGTTTTTTACAAAACCTTGTATTATATATTTGTTTACTACTTAATTTCTGTGGATAAATTGCATGTAAACATCACATATTTGACCATGAATAGCTCTTGTTGATCATGAATAAAAAAAAAACAAAAACTAAGACAAATTCAATTTCTATCTGGTAATTTTTCAGAATATTATTCATAAAAATCATGATCAGAAATTTTAATCGGATTGCTATCATCATCACTGAGAATCATCTTGTATACAATTTCAACTTGTTTTTATAAAATTTGCATACAAGATAAAAAAAATTCATTGACAGAAATGAATGGAAAAAAACACCAATAGATAGATACAACGTATTTTGTTATAGAATGAGATGTTGTAGTAGAGATCGTGACTTTAAAAAAAAAAATTTATATAAAATGATGATACATTTTTTTTCAGGAAAAAAAACAAGGATTTACTAGGAGTTTATCAGTTTAAAGTTGCTTAAAATTTTTTTGAAAAAAAACTTTCACGTATTTTTTTTGCATAGAAAACCATGATTAAAAAAACCATTCTGTTTGAAGATGAATTAACAGATTTTGATCCAAAAATGGCAAACACCATTCTATTCATTAATATGAATGAATGAATGAATGAATCGAAAAAAATCCTACACAAAATTTTTTTATCTCTTTCAAATTGTGCCAAATTTTTTTTTATCGTTTACTATTTAATAAGGGCAACACGGAAAAAAATATAGTCTGATTCAATCATCATTTTTTTTGTTGATGATTATAAACGGCTTGATTTTTTTCCAAGTTAATTTAATTTTGAATCAACTGAAAAAACAACTTAAGCAAACGTTAATTGTTATTATCAACGGGCAATTGGCACATGGATATAATTCATTTAATCATATAGCTATATAAATTGTACTGAGAAATATAAATGACTTTACATTTAACAGAAAAACATTTTTTGTTTCTTCAATTAGGAATTACGAAGCAAAAAAAAAAAAATTTAACGTGACATTTTCAAGTATAAGTTTTTCATTACAATCTTAATTTTAAAAAGTTGTCGCATGAATGGTGCCCAGCAGCCGGATTTTTTTTGCGCTTATTAATTATCAAGTCGAATGTTGAAATGAAATTGAATTTCACTGGTAATCAATCATTCATCAATGATGAAGCGTGAATGGTTAAAGGGTATGATCCTTGGGCGATGTTTGTTTTTTATTTTTTTTGTCTACATTTCCTTATGGATTCTATCGATTAAAATTGAACTATTTTCTTTCTCATTTTTTTCGTTGCTATCAATGATTTGATTTTTTTTCCATATAATTTCGGTCACACACACATACAAGCACACGTATAAATAATAATACAAGGCATTGCATATAAATGGTGACGGTAGTAAAAAAAAACAAACTTTTTCCTTGCCAATTAAAAGATTTTTTTTTTCAATTTAGTCTCATTTCAATTTGACAAGATTCATTCATTCGATGTCAATGCTGGTGATGATGGTGATGATATTTTTTTCACCATTTTTGACGACAACAAAATCAAAAAGAAAAAAAATTCAAATTTATTTAAACAAATCCAATGGTAGGGAGAGAGGGAGAGAGAAAATGAAAATATTCGAAACCTGACCTAGTTTTTTTTATGAAAACAAAATCATCACCTTTATACATACATGCGCACATACACACAAATATATACCAGATTTTATCATCATTAGATTGATGACACTTTGATTCACGCCAAAACAACAACTTGTCTTGTCTTGTATTTTCTCAATAATGATGATTAAAATTTAAATCAATCTAAATTTTTCACGCATTTAAAAACAAAAATTTGTGATGCCTTTTTTTCATGAATTATTGATGATGATGATCATCTTCATCAGATTTTTAACGTTTTGTTTCGAAATAAATATTCAAATGGAAACAGATCATCATTGTAATCACGATTGTTCCATCATCTTTCTTTTGAATTATTGATTTTGTAAATTACATACAAAAAATGGGAATAAATTTTACTTTTAAAATTTTAATTTGTTGCACAAAAAATCAATTTAAATATATCATATATAATATCGAAACAACAATACGATTGATGTTTTTGATTGCAGTAAGATTATTATTTTATAGTTTCTTTTACTGTTTTTCTGTGTTTTTTTTCCGTTATTCAAATATAGTAAAATTCATTTCTCATTCCATTTTTATTCTTTATTTTTTTTTTATTATAAATAATATTCTAGTTCAATGCCAATTTATTATTACACCGGCATCGACTACCAATTTTCATATAAATAATAATAATCAACAACCAGAACCAATACAAAGCGATGATTATAATGAATCAATATTGGGAAATTCATCATCACCATCCATACAGACATCATCGATCATCATTAATACCTCATCATCATCACCATCATTGTTGTTGATGCAAAATGAGACGACAACAATAACGACTTTGTCGTCTTCATTGGCGGCAACGACGACCACAGATGATCCATTGGATAGACAAGAATCATCAATAGTTATGAATGATGATGATAATGATAATGTTGAATCAAAAATTATTCGATATGATACCAATGGTGATAAACTTGTCGATGAACTAAATAATGCCAATCATGGTACTATCAGTTTGGAATCAAAAAAACCTGTCGTCATGTTTGCTATTGCTACCGGTAGGTTTTTTAAAAAAAAATTGCTTTTATTGATTTCGTGATCGATGATTGCTTTCTTGTTTTTAGATTTACCGAAAAATATTAATAATACTCGTCAGCAAATATCACATTCATGGTCCAAATCATCATCAACGGTATTTGGTTTGCCTGATTCAACACATTCATTACCGACATTATTTTCATCATCATCTATTGCTCATCATCAAACATCACCATCACAGTCAGCATTACCAGCATCATTCAAATTGGGTAAAAAATTATTTCGTAAAAAAGTAACGACCAGCATTACGGTTTCTAAACCAAATCCGACAAAATTACAGCAACTGATAACGAAAAAAGAACACGATCCTTCGACTTTCGAATCACCAAGGCATAGTTATTGGCTATCCAAATCGGATCCATCACCATCGAATCATTTTGCTCATTGGTTGAAAAATTCGACCATAATGGAAAATCTATGGCAACAATTACCTAGTTCAATTCGACGACGTTCTGATCAATCGGCTCCACTTGTTATAGCTCCTCCTTTAGATGCAGTCAACGTTCCTGGTTCAAATTCACAGACGCCTAAATCCTGGTGGTGGGCTAGATATCTAGCTATTGCTGTCATGAATCATTTACAACAACAGATTAAACCACATTCTGTAACAAATAATCAACAACATCCAGGATCAGAAGGTGCCGAATCATCAAATTCACCCGAATATTCACCAATGTCACCGGAATTTATTGATCTTATAAAATCAATACAAACAGGTGCCGTACAATTGAATCAAATCGAATTGATACCTGATGGACCTCAAGAACCAATGAATGAGCAGTCAATGTTTAATCTTCAAACAGAAATTGGCCTTCCACCGTCACATCCTCATTCGAATGCACCGCAACAACAACAAGCTCAACCACAAATGATTCCACAGACACCACAACAAATGTCAATGCCATATGCACAATCTCAAATGATAAGGCATCCGGCTGTTTCTCCTTCATTGATGTCACACCCACATTATGCGACTCAACCATCACAACCACAACAACAACCAAATGGACAAATTTATGGAAATCGTTTCTATCATCGACGATCACCTGCAACAATGACACCGATGGCCAGTATAGTTATGCCTAATCGAAAACTTTATCCATCAAGCTCACGTCTAACATCATCACCATATTCATATTATGCATATCAACATCAACAATTACCACTTAAATCGGGCGCATCATCATCATTGGCTCAATCAACAAATAACAATAACAAGTACTTGAACACACAACCGGAAACATCATCTAACAGCACGACGGGTAAGTTTCATGATTCAATAGAAAAAAAAATGATGAACGACATCCAAGTCTAATTGATTGAAAACAAATCGAATCCATTGATTATGACAAATGATTTTTTTTTGTTCAATGCTTTCATATATGGGTTCTATATTATAATGATCAAAGTCAAACAAACACTTGACTTTTGACTTGAACAAGAAATTTTTTTTTTTTATTTGAAATCTCATTATTATATAGTGACCATCATCATCATCATCATTACGGAATAGGTCAATAGATATGTTGGAGTTATCTTGACAAGATAACAATAAATTTGTTCATACTTTTGTCATCATCATTAAGTGTCAATGTGTGTAGGATGAAGCATTTGCATTTGAACAGGAAACGAGCATTGTTTGTTCTTGTCATCTTTCTCATTCTCTCTCTCTCTCTCTCTCGCTTCATAAGTGTGATTTTAAATTTCTGCTGTGAAAAAAACAACAAGAAAAAAAACGGAAATATCTTTCAATCTCAAAATTTATTATTTTTTTGAATTGTAGATTTTATCATCATCATTCTTTAATATTTCTGCTATTTTTGAGCCATTCATTTTAGCCACAATTATTATTTCTAATTATGATGATGATGATGATGATGATAATTATAATAATGATACGATAATGAGAATATGCATTATCGGCTGAGATCTAATCGAAGAGAAAAAAAACTAGGGCAAGGACATTGAAGAATTTTTTCAATCTGTAAAAATAAATAGAAACTATTTAAAACTAGATATATGGTCACAACATAAAATGATCGATTTTTACAATGTTCCAAAAAAAAATATTGAAATGTTTTGTTATGTTGGATCAATATTATCGATTGTTTCGTTGTTCGTTTTTTTTTGTTGGAACAACATTTTATGTATTTTCTTTTTCATCTCATTTCAATTTGACTTGAATAAGTTTTTTTCATAGAGATCGAATAAAAACAAGAAAAAAAATCATTTGAAATTATAATAAATGATCACATGACATCGAACAAACACCTAGCGAAAAATTATAAACATGCAAATTAATCATTTCAAATAATTTCACGAAATACAAATCAATCGCTGCTTTATAATTTATTGAATTTTACAAAATATCAAACATTTCAAAAAAAAAACAAATGGTAAAGAAAAGAAAATTTCAATTCAAATTTGAAATTTTTAAATAAATCAACGACAAGATAGCATCGTTTTATATATATTGTAAAATCAACAATATCCTTGTTTACAGATGTTGTTGTACACTTGATGTTTGGTAACATACATTCATCTTGATGTCAGATCAAAAAAGTCGACCTTTTCTTTCAAATCATCAGATAATCATCATGGTATTTTGACGTTTATATGAAATCGACCTTTCTTGATCCTGATGATGTTAAATTTTTTTTTTTCGATGATGAACCATGAATCTAAGTTGTTGAAGATCATCAATGATGATAATGATGATTATAATCAATTCATCATTAGCTTCATTTTCTAGATAAAAGAGCCTAAATATATGAAAATCTATCAGGTGATGATGTAATGAAATGTTGATGATTGGATTGGTTCGATTTTTTTTGTTGTTGTTGATGATCGAATTTTGGTTATCCTATCATCATAAATATTTTTGGTACGAGCAAAATTTTTCATCACCCCTTACCACTGATGATGATGGTAAGGATATTTATATTGACTTTTTTCGTATTTCTTCAATGTTGTCCGATCTTTTTTGCCAATTCATTTGTGAGCATCATCATAATCAAATGATTGCCATAATCATTTTTCGCTATCATCATCATGGTGATTTTGATCAATTTTTCTATTATTTTGCACAGCAATTTTTACGGGTGAAAGGTTTTTGGCGGCTGATTTTATACAGTTTCATTGGTGTTCATTTTGTCTTTTAAACCTTTTTTTTTGATCTTTAAAGCTTGATGATTGATTAATCGATTGATCTCAACCGATTTTTCATCGTTAGACTCGAATATCATGTAGGCAAATAGAGAGTTTATGTGTGTTCAATATTTCATTGATTCGATTTGTCGATCAAAATTTTCTGTTTCATTCCGGTTTAGCTCCATTAAGATTTGATTTGATGAATCATAAAAATCATCATTTAATCGAATAATTATGGAAAAATGTATTTTTTGCCTACTTTTTCTTTATATATTTTTTTGTTGTTGTTGACTCATTGATTGGTTGATAAAATAAATTTACTTTGAATGATGACTGAATGATACGCTATTGATGCCACTTAAATAAATAATCTGGTATATAAGAAAACCTGAACTGATTTTTCCAATCGATTTGATTTGATTAGATGATGGAACTAGAAAATCTTCGGATCAACAAAAAAAAAAATCCGTCAACACAAACATATCCATAAATGATTGGTTTTTTTCTGATTGAAAAATATGATAGCTTATTGATGGACATTGCAACCAAAAAAAAAAAAATAAATAAATAAAAAAAGAAAAGATCCAAATTTTCTCAATATCTTCGGATATCAAGACAGCCAATGGCCAAGGCGGTTGTTGTTAGTCAAAGAAAAAGAAATTTTCATCAAAAAAATTGATGATAATAATCATGATGATGATCCGAAGAATGATGATGGACAAGATGATTAAGATTTTTCGATACATAACATATCATTTATTTGCGCTTCCTAAAGGACATGATGATGGCTACTGATTTTAATTTTTTGTGTATAGAATCAATAATTTTTTCGCTATTTTTCGGATATATTATTTTTAAAAAAGTTAGTTTTTTAAAAGAAAATCGTGCGAAACAAAATTTATCAAAAAAAAAAATTTATCAACTAATAATCTCTGTATCAATTTTGATCAAAACGATCTGCCCGTATAAATAATAAATACCATATATGAAATAATTTTGGTGAAATGGTGAATAAATATAATAAAATGAAAAAAGCAGAAAAATGTAGAAAAATTCAACAATCAACTGAAAATTAGCTTAAGAAATGATAATTTTAGCTTTTCACTTGCATTTGATGCCAAAACATTATCCAATTGTCAATAACAACATCGATAATCTATATACTAGGTTCTTGAAATCGAAAAAGAAGTACTCTGTATTTATGTTGGCTTCCCGAAACTTATATCACTAAAAATGGAAAAAGATGATTCAGTCTTATTTTTTTTCTAATGAAAATTTAAATCAATCAGAATTTCTTTTCACTTTTTTTCCATAAACTATGATGATGATGATTATTATAATTTATTATTTTGATATATATGAAAAATGTTAACAATCATTATTTGAGATTAGTCAACTGTCATGTAATAATCAAATTTTATGTTTATTTCATATATTTTTTTTTGACATATTTCTAATATAAAATTTTTTTTCTTCTACAAACAGATTTGTCCATCAGTCAATCACAATCATCATCCGGTTCGGCTGTAACATTCTATCAAACACCATCACATCAAACAACAACATCAACAAATCGTAATCATCGATCATTCATACCACCTTCATCATCATCGTCATCGTCATCATCATTGATTACCAATAATTTTTTCAAACAAAATTTTCTTGTCCGTCCTCAACAACAATCACAGCGAACAAATTATCATAATCAAGATTCGTCCAATTCATCACCATTTGTTGCAAGTCGAATAAGGCCATCTATTCTACAAACAATGGCATCATCATCGACAAATAATTTTCAACCACCAGTCATAAAATTCAGTGTCAAAGATGGTGTAAATGAAAAAAGTTTCATCTCACCTCAATCATCAAATCATCATAAATCGGGTGAAAGTCGATCGTTTGGTAGTGGATCATCATCGATGGTATCGACATTATTTGATGATGATCTGGATAGTAGTGATTCACAATCATCATCATCATCATCATCTTCGGATGAACCAAGACGTATTAAAATGGGGTCATTTCTAAAATCTCGATCACTGTGGCGATCAGGCGATCCTAGCCGTGTCATTTTAGAGGTAATGAATTTTTTTTTTTGAGATGGCTATTTTTAATTTATTTTTTTTCATTTATAGAAATATGATATGAGTGATATTTTTTGCAAGACTAAATTCAAACCAATGATTAATCCACCAAGTGCTGTGCTAGACATTTCTCGAAACGGACGACAATTGAAACGTTCTTCTTCAAAAAATGAAGAACAAAACGTTGCATCAGAATTGAAACCAATTCGATTTGTAAACTCGGAATGGACTCCATTGGCTCCACCGAAATTTCGATTAGCTAGAAGATTAGGTATTCAAATTAATAAAGATGCATCGCTTGAAAACCCGAATGTTACGGCAATATCAACTTCTACGGAAATCACTCCGATTCTTGAAAATGAACCTGTATTGTCTCGTTCGAAACGACAGGCTTCTGTCATAAATCCTAGTGAGTTGGAACGTATTATCGGTAATCTACCAGAGGGTGCTGTTATTAAAAAAATTGATCCAGCCACTACCGAGTTATTACTTCGATTACTTAGGAATACTAATGCTAGTGATGATATCGAAAGAAAAAAGATTACGAAAGTTTATTACGTTTACTTAGCACCAAAGGAAAACGGTAACCCAGCGAATTTATTCGATCAGAATAAATCATTAAATCGTGTAGAATCACCACCATCAACTACGTCCGTAGATTATCAAAGAAATCGACAACCAGCACCATATCAGGAAAATTTTCCAGTTAATAGGCCAAATCGTGTTGATACGCCACGGCGACGACCACAGCCATTAACAACAACAACAACAACGACGACGACAACAACAACTGAGGCACCAATCATAACAACATCGAAACCAAAATTCGTTTTAAATGAACAAGATTATGAATACGGTGAAATACTTTGTGACGGTCGATTCAGTGGTGGGGTTCCTGATTTTCGTAATGATTGTCGACTATATTTTGAATGTAATCCGCAAACGATCGATACGTATGCCTGTCCTGAAGATCAACGATATGATATGAGCCGACAATTGTGCGTGCCGGAACAAGAAGTTTATTGCCCAAGATTTTTGCCATCACCATCTATTAGAAAACAAAGAAGATGAAAAATTGATTTATTTTTCATTTGTTGTTGAATTTTTTTCACTTCATGACAATTTTTTGTCCATCTACAATCGAATCCAAAAAACAATATTTATTCTTTTTCATTATTTCATTGTTTTTCGATAATGGTTATGAAAATAATCTTGAAAAATAATCTTGCCAATATCTCAATCAGATGGATAGATAAACGTGAACAATTGAAATTGTAAATTATTGATTTTGAATCATCTTCAACGAACATTAGAATATATAATTTGACGTTTCGTTTTTTCTGCTTGTAAATAAAATTCTTTATTGATTTATAATATTTTTTGTGTAATTATTCTTGTTCATATTATACATGATCATAATTGATCCAAAAGGTTTCTGGTAGTTTTGGATAACTGGAAGATTTCACTTTTAAATTTAAGAAATCTGTTTAAAACTGATGAAACCGATAATGCCATCTAGTGATTATAAATAAAAAAAATATTTCTTCAATTTTTTGAATTTGATTTGAATGAAAATGCTTGTGGTAGTTGTTTTCAAATCGATTGATGCAGGCCGAGGCCGAATCAGGTGCTGAAAAAATTGATCCCTTTAATTATAGTTTAATTACGACAAAAAATGTTTCAGTAAAAAAAACCTGGAGGATACAAATCAATGCAATGGATATTCCTTTTTCATTGATGCCTTGCTTATAACTGATAAATTAATTTTTCAAAGTTTTTATGGAACAAATCTTGCTTGAAAAAATAGATTCATTATATAATCGGCTCACAAAATAAAAAAATTCATTATTCAAAATAAAATTGCATAATGAAATCAATTTTTTAAATTCTTAGAATGAATATCTAATATCGTCGATGATCAATGTCATTTTGAAAGTCACGAAAAAAACAATATCGTTAAGCGAATTGTTGATGGAAGTTTTCTATGCATTATAGATCGATAATCCAAATTAATGAATTTTATAACATTTATTCTATTATTAAGTTGAATGTCAAAATGCACAGACCATTTATATATTTGAAGATTACTTTTTTTTTAAAGAAATCGATTTTTTAAAGAAAAAAAACTCAAAAAAAGTAGAAACGAATGGATCATTTACTCAATAAAAACTAATGGCGTGAACTAGATAAAAATCATGTGCCCAAATATCCAATGGCAACGGCAATGAATTCTGATCTTCATCAAAAAAAAATATTTTTTCTTCTTTTTTTACAATCAAATTATAATAGTTGTTGTGCGCTAACCATATACAATAGCCATTAATTATAATGTTATGAATGATTTTGAAAAAAATTAGTTTTCAATGATTATTTGAATTTTCTCCACACATATTTTTAAAAAACTAATTTGAATAATAAATTTGAAAATTGAACACTGCTCATATTACTGAAACAATGAACGAACGTGAAAAAGACGTTGAGAATAATCAAGATTCCCGAGAAGTAGAAGTCGATAATAGGGACAGCGATACATCGGGTAACTGTTTTTCATATATATGATATTATTTTGAATTGAACAAAAATTTCTATCACTTTCAGAATCTGATTCTTCTACCGATAGCGAAGAAGATTCCAATATTGAAAACTCAAATCGAGTACGAAAACTATCGACAAATACTGGTGCTGATGTTTTGAATCAAACAGCTGAACCTAATGCGAAAATAAAAGGATCTTCAAATTCTAGTGAATCTTTCAAACAAAGTCGATTGACAAGAACATTAACTCCCTTAAAACAATTTTCATTGTCGAAATTGAAGCCACAAAATTCACAAGTGGCTAATTTATCATTTGATTTTTCAACAATTTCTCTTCACCATTCAATGGATAGTTTAAAAAATTTAACCACAAATAAAGTTAAATTTCCCAAAGGTAATTTGTTCCGACGAAATGTTAAAACTGCTGATGTAAATTCTGATATGAGCAACGGAATCGGTTCCATTGCTCGAAACAATGATGAAAACAATTTCAACAATAATCAACAACAACAAACAATTCTTCACCATGTGAATGAAGATGAAGAAAAATCGGAGATTGAAAAAGCAATTAAAAATCTGCAAAATAGAACATCTTTATCCTCTTTCAACAAAAATCCATCATTAGAATCAAACGGTAAAGCAGATAATATCCAAGAACCGATTTTGCAGGATGAAGATAAAATTTCGCTAGCAATCCCATCTAGTGAGTCATTTATGAGGATTGAAGTATCTGCGGAAAATACTGATGCACCGTCATCAAATTTAACAGCTGGAGCATTCGAAATCATATGGCGTAATGTCATCTATTATCCAGCAAATGTTCAAGCAGAAAAAAACGATTCAGTTGAAAAAAATTCAACTAAAAAGAAACAAAGATCAAGACGAGCCATATTGAACAACATTAGCGGAATGTTCCGTAGTGGACAGATGACTGGTATCATGGGTCCATCCGGTTGTGGTAAAACAGTTCTTTTGAATTGTATTGCTGGATTTTTACCCATACATATTCGAAAAGAAAACAGTGGTGATATCCTTGTCAATGGTTTGAATTCAGTACGAATCGGATTTGTTGAACAATTCGATCATTTACATGAGAAATTAACAGTACGAGAAACATTACTATTCGCATCGAAAATACGAAATGCTGCACGATACTATTTAAATCATGAAAAAGTAGTGAATAGTGTTATGGAACGATTATATTTAACCGAAATGGCTGATATTGCTGTATCACGATGTAGCAATGGACAACGCAAACGGGTTTCAATCGCCATAGAATTGGTTTTCAATTCAGATATACTCATGTTGGATGAACCGACTACCGGTGTGGATAGTGTAAACGGTTATCAAATTATGAATAATCTCAAATCGTTGACCAAACGAGTGAGTATCGTTCAAATTTAGTTGGATTTTTTTTCAAAATTGTCTTTAATAAATTTTTCTAGCGAAAAGCCATAGCGATCGTAGCAACTATTCATCAACCTAGTGCACGTATTTTTGCATTATTTGATAATCTAATCATATTATCATGTAAAGGATCCATATTGTTTCAGGGTCACCCTAATGATCTGACACAAATATTGCAAGATATTGGTTTAAAATGTCCAATGTATACAAGTCTATCGGATTATATTCTCGAAGTGGCAAGCGGTGATTTTGGAAATAAAAGTTTGCAAACATTATCACATTATAATAATGAAATGAATAAAAAACGTTTTTCTGACGATTTTAATGAAGTTGAAATGAATTCGCTTCGTGAAGCTGTGAAACGAGCTCATCTTGGAGATCAAAGGTACAGGTTTCCGATTGTATTTAAAAGAGTATCATTGGGTAACATTGATGAATCGGCCGTCCTATGTAGCCCATATAAATTTTGATTGAATCTTCCTCATGGAAGGGTCAATAAAGCTTTTTCACCATTTTCAGGTTTCTAACCCCACCCACTTCCGCTAGAGAGAGACACGTCACTTTTTTTCAAATCTCTGCAAATCGCTCCTGAACAGCCACCACTTGGAATATTTTTGTGAAACTTCGAACAATTATACGTCGCACCACAAGGTTCAAGAATCATGTCATATGAATTTGATAACTCCAGCCTCTAGAGGTCAAAGGGCAAAAAATTGTCACTCCTAACAGCGAAGAGGTATACGCAAATTGACATTTTTTCCAAGTGGTGGCTGTTCAGGAGCGATTTGCAGAGATTTGAAAAAAAGTGACGTGTCTCTCTCTAGCGGAAGTGGGTGGGGTTAGAAACCTGAAAATGGTGAAAAAGCTTTATTGACCCTTCCATGAGGAAGATTCAATCAAAATTTATATGGGCTACATAGGACGGCCGATTCATCAATGTTACCCAATGATGCTCTTTTTTTCTCTAAATTTTTTCCAAATAGATCGCTGGCACTTTGTACATGGCTAGTATTATGGAGATGTTTTATTTGCAATTATCGTAATCCATTCAGTTTAAAAACTCGCATTCCTTCGTTGACATTTATGGCCATATTTTTGATCATGTTATATGGCGATGACATTGGTCAGATATCGACATGTGGGACAAAATATGTTCTTTGGAATGCAAAAATTGAAGATATTTTGGACATAATGGAAGAACATTCAACGCTTGTACATGAAAATCTATCTGTTTTGCTATTGTTGAATATTGTGGCATTATATAATTCTATGCTTGCGTTGATAATAACCATACCAGATGAAATTTATGTATTTCGTCGTGAATATAACAATTATAGCTATACCATATGGACATATTTTGCAGCCAAAACAATTAGTGAACTACCATTCACGATGATATCGACAAGTATATTTACATGGGCTGTGCATCGTGGTACCGGACAAATATTTGACCATTGGGATCGTATCTATTTTACTATTTTGCCTTGTTGTCTGATCACATTGGTTGGACAATTTATTGGTGAATGAAAATTTATTATTTCGCATAATGAATTAATTTTTTTTGTTTTTTCTGTAGGAATGATGCTTGGAACAATTTTCTATGGAAGCCAAGTACAAGCAGTATTTGGTATGACATTTATACTGGTACCCGTATTAGTGTTTTCTGGTTATTTTAAACTTATTTCACAAATGAACAGTGTAATGGTATTCCTGTCAAACCTGTCATTCCTAAAGCCATCAATGAATTCAATAATGATAGCTACATATGGATTTGATCGTTGTTTTTTTCAGACTCAACAAGAATTACAACAAATTCAAGCGATGAATCAATCACGACCAGATTGGATAGATTCGGTTACAACATTAGTAGATATATATGCAACCACTTATAATCAAACACAATTAATGGATAAAGAATTAGAAAATGAACAAAAATTGATCGGATTTATGGGCATCGGAAAAAATCCGAATGATCGCCGTGCATTTATACTTCAATATTGGGAACTGTCCGAAACACATGATAGTTATTATCATGAAATCTATCATTTAATCATCTATAATCTTATACTAGCTGGCATGGTGTATATAACAATGTTTATTCGATTGAAACGAGAAAAAAATTGAATACATCATCATCAAAATTTGATTATTCAATCTATCCCCATAATTTAATTTAGTTTTTATTATTATTATTAGTTAGTTGATCACTGAAAAAAAATAAGATTAAGAAAAGACAATTTATGTCATCACTTTAAAATTTTATCATTTATTTGTCAAATTTAATAATATGTGATAATAATAATAATAATATTGATAATCCTCTTATTGAACAAAAAAAAAAGAAAAAAAAAAAAAACATTTGAGAGGTAACTTATAGTTATATATAATATATATAGATATAAATCATAGATCATTCTTATTATTTGTAATAAAAGCGACAATATTTGATTTATAGTTAAATGAAATCGATAAATTGAGATTTCGACAATTTGAAAAAGATGATTTTGTGGAATGTAAATTGTTCAGATAAGTAAACAAAGAAAAAAAAACGGAAAAAACAAAACATAATGATGTCCGAAATAAATAACATGAACAAAAAAAAGAAAAAGAAAATGGAAGAAAGATGAATAGGAAATTTCGAAAATAAAATTGTCATACATCTCTTTGATAATATCGAATACATTAAGGATGATTCTGAAATTGCACAGAGAAAAAAATGTGTTTGATAAAATTGTGCTTTTTTGATATGTCCATTGGTGAAAAGAATATATATGTAGATAAACACAACACTCAAAACAAAATATAAATTTATTTCACTGAGACAAAATATATTCGAACAAAGTATTGTCATACCATTTGTTTATCGATATTTGAGTCATCTGGGTGATCTTCCAATGAGATTTCAAATTAGTTATTTTTACATATATAAGGATTCTCAAGATTTTCTGCTATCATTTTTATCATCATAATCATCATCTTTATCGACATGGTCGTTTTCATTGATCGCAGGTCGTTTAGTATATGCAATAGTATCACTTGAATTATTCATAGGATTGATATGAATTATGGTTGTTGCATTTTTAACGTTAGAATTTAGTACGATTTCCGCATTAACATTTATGGATACAGTGGTAGCAGGTATAACGTGGGTACAACATTTTCTTTTCGTTGATGACGATGGCTCCTTGAATGTTTGAACTAGTGTAGGTGTTTTTGGAGATTTCAAATCATCTTTATCATCATGAATTATTGAACGATAACATCCATGACAAACATCTACCTTATCATTTTTAGCAGCTGAAATTTTGGTACGTTTACAATTTTTTTCATAATAATGGTCACAATGATGATGGTGAAGAACAAAATGATGATGATGATGATGATGACAATGGAGACAACAGGTATCTTTATCATTATATTTTTGTTCACAATCCTGATTATCACAATGATAATGATGTTCTTCATCATCAATGACTGATGATGTTATATCTGGATGTTGTACATTTTTCATAGCTGGTGATGATTTACTGAAATTGATTTCATCTTGACAATCATCCATGTGTTTGATTAATTCAGAATCTTCAGGTGATTCAATTTTAGAAAACGATACAAATGATGGCGATGATGATGATGAACATTGTAGATGTGGATCAGGTGATATGCATTCATTTCGAAGAGTTTTGCCAGGATCAATAATAGCAGCATTAGTGGCGGTAATTGATTCAGCTACTAGATCATTGGTTATTAATGTGTCACCGAATTTTGTCGTGGATTCGTTAAAATCACTAGAACACAAACGGAGAAATTTTTGATTAGGAGTTGTCATTTCCTCATCATTTGATGCTAATTCCAATGATTGCTTGCTCAACAATAATTTATCTTCATCGTGATAAATTTCTTTCGATTTTTTTGATGTGGATTTATCAAGATTTATACAATCGAATTTTGAAGGTAAAGACAATGCTGTAGAATTACAAACAATAGCTGAATTAGAAATTCGAATGGTTTCAATTTTTTCAACTAATTTTTCCGATTTTCTATCATTTAGACATGAACCAATGACTATGGCTGAATCATCTGAATCATAATCAACAAGCGGAACCATTTTGAAAAATTCCCGTGTAATTTCAAGTTTATCATCATTTTTATCTGGTGTTTCATGCGGCTGAACAATATCATTATCATGAAACTCATTATTAGGCAAGGTCATGGGCAAGATAATTTCGTTAGAACCAAGAAGATCCATTGATTTGATCTGTTCTTGCATAGATAATGTTCCAAGCATATCATTAACAATACAGTTAATATTCATTTCATCAATTTTTTCTGTTGTAGGTTCCTTCTGGTTAATTTTTGATTCAATCGAATCGATTATAACATCAATAATCTGACGGCATTCCAATTCTGAAGCTAAGGATGATTCTTGAAAATCACTTATATTAGAAAGTGCCTGTAAAGGTTTTTGTTTGATTGGTTCGATGGATCGGCTAATTTCTTCTAAAAATCCAAGATCATTATGATCAAAATGATCGACAGTAGAGCTAGAATCTAAATCATCAAAAAGCCGATCAAGATCATCGTTGGTCAATTGAACTTCAACTTGTTGGTGCTGTGACTGGTCATTAACTGATGCAAAAGAAATAGGATTTATCGGCACAGAATTTATCATGACCTCTTGGGATAGTGATTGACGTTGAGCATTTAATGTTGAAGGCTAGAATAAAAAGAAGATAGATTAGTAATAATAATAGAGAAAAAATAAGAAAAAAACGAAACCTGTGATGATGATCTGATCAAAGACTGCGGTATGATTGCAGACATTAGTGACGAAGGATTATTGGGATTGATTGATGGTGAGGGTATAGTATTGGTCACATTTAGCATTTTTGGTTGTGTTTTAGGCTGTTGGTTCCTATTATTATCCGGTTGATCATCAATGTCGTAAAATCTAATCTCTTCCATTGCTTCAGTAAGAATATCTTTGATCGGTAGCTGTCGATTGGGAGGATCCAATTTTTCCTTGATCATTGGTGGTGGCTTGGATTCAAGAATGACTTTTTGATTAGTAATCGGCGAAGATAAAAATATAGGTGTGGAGGTGAAACGCTGTTGTTGTTGTTGAAGAGAAACTTGTTGTTGGTGTTGACGAATTTGTTGCTGCTGCTGTTGTTGCATTAAATGTTGAGATGATGATATAGGTGCGGCCATTGTGAAAAATGTTTGATTATTAGGTCGAAGTGGCTGCCCAGGTGCCAAAATTCGCATTGTATTCATTAAACCAGGATTAACCGGTATTAATCGTGGACCATTACGAATAAACATCGGTTGAGTGATTGAGTTGGAAAAGGCTGGATTTATTAATGCAGCACTAGCTTGAGGAGGTGGCCGAGCGGTGTATCCATAAGGATTATGTGCATTAGCATTAGGAAGAATAAGATTGATAGTTGAACCATTCGGTGCTTGTGTTCTAATCATTTGTGGATGTTGTAGAGATGGTTGATGTTGTGTAGGAATAAATGGGCTACGAATCATGAATTGGGGCTGTTGTGTTTGTGTATGAAAGCCTAAATTTTGTCCGGCTGATTGGAATAAGAAAGTCTGACGGGCATTGTGATGAGGATGAACCGATGGGGGATGTTGAATTTGAGGATCCACTGAAGGAGTGAACAATCGAATGGCAGAATTAGATGGCAACTGGAACAGTGGCAATCGTGGCTGTAGATGCTGTTGTTGATGTGGGGGAATTACACTCGAAGGATTTGAATGTTGAATTTGAACTGAATTTAATAAAGGCTGCTGCAAAGGTTTTGTTACTGATGTTTGTGAAATCATAACTGGTCTTGTCAGTGGAAAATTTGGTTGTAGTTCAAGCGGTGGTTGTTGAATATTCAAAGAATTAATTTGCGGTTCGGTAAATTGTTGTGGAATCGATTGAATCGGAGTCGGCATTGAAACTGATGCAGTTGATGTGTTTGCAGTAGTATTTGGAATTAAAATAGAATTCGCAGTAGATTGGATGTGTTGTGGCGAAGAATGTGGTGTTAGTGGTATTGATTCTTCTGTTGGATTTGGTGGGAGCGTTTTCATGTCCAACTGTCGTATCACCTCAGATGCATCAGTATCTATCAAATCTTTATTGAGCTGTTGTTGTTTACATGAATCTGTTACAATCATTACGGCATTGTTTTCATTGTCATCTGATAATTCGATATTGGTTTCATTAGTTTGGTCTTCTTGCAAAACAAATGATTCAGTAGTTGTTTCAATTTCTGTATTTTTGGGAGACTTTGAAATATTTTCAATTTTGTTATTAATTAAATCCGTGCTCTGTTCTGAGATTTCTTCTTGAGTTCCTATAATACAATTGTCTTCATTTTGATCATTTACATTGTCTGAATTATTTGAATCATCAACAAGATTTTTTGATTGATTAGAAATCAATGGATTAATTTCAATTTCCTGCGATGGTGATTCGGTACGTTCAAAATCATCAAGATTCATGATAGAATTGATAGCTGAAAATTGTTCATTATCGGATATAAGTTTTGCTGTATCCAAACAATTTATTGGTAATATTGATTCAACTGACGATAAATGTTGGTGTGCAGATGATGATGATAATGATGATGGATGAATGGTCGAATTAATGAGTGAATGATCGAATGCCGGGGGTGGTGATGGCGTTCGAAATAATGGATTTTCATCCACTGGTTCTGTATTCAAAATAGACGTTAGAGGATTAGAAGTCACTGCTTCGGTTGTTGAATTATCAATATCATCATTTTCAAAAACATGTTGTTTGGAATGATCAACTAAAACTTCTGTGGGATCTAGGACTTGATGACAACAGTTATTATCTTTATCATCGGATATTTGATCGATAGATTTGACATCAGTTGTAATAATTTGTGTATCCTCAGTTTTTGAGTCACAAATCTGTTCGACTTGTTTATTACAAATAAACTTTTCAACACTATTATCCCCATCATGATCAATACTTGCTTCACCATTAGTAGAAAGACGAATGGTTAATTTTTTTACAGTTTCCGATTTAGGTTTTTGATTATTATTCATTTCAATTTCTTTTTCAATTTCATCATCATTTTGAATAATTTTAAAACCATGATCATCAGTATTCAAACGTTTCAGTAAAAGTTTGGGTAATTTTGGTGTATCTTCTTGCTGTTGTTCTTGAGATTCTTTTGATATTTTTTTCAAAGCACTGTTATCATCATCATCATCATCATCATCATCATCATTCTCATAGAAATCCAAATTATTGAAAAGTTCATCATTGATATCATCATCATTATCGTTGATTAAAGCTGTATTTAGGCAATCCATCATTATTGATTCGGTAAATTTTGGCTTGCCAGTTAACGTATATTGTTGACGTTTAAGGAAATGATTTGATTTTCTCGAGGTATCTGTATGAATACTGTTATTCAAAGATGATTTAGACATAAAAAAATGAAAATTATTACCATTATGTTGATGTTTTCGCCGTTTATTTCCACCATTTTTGTTTATCACATATGATCCACGATCATCTTCATAACTATCATCATCATCATCATCATAGAAACTTGATGGAGTTGAATAGGAACTTTCATTGGAATCATCATCACCTGAATAAACAGCATTATCATCATCGTTGTCGCTCAGTGGATTTGCAGAGAAATTCAAACGTTTTCGTTTCATTAATTGTGATTGCAATTCTTGTTCTTGTTGCGTTGAAATCGATTGTGTAGCCGCAGATGAACAATGAAACATTGAATTTTTTGTTAATGAAATACGGATAGGTGCAACCTTTTCCACATCATCATCATTCGACTTAATCGATAAATGATTCGATGAAGAGGACGTTGTCGGTAATGGATCATCAAGATCATCGAATGGATTTTTAATAATTTCAGTCTCACATTGTCCAATAATTTTATTGTTATTATTATTGTTCATTGAAAATAACATTGAATCCGTAATTGCCACATTAGAATGCTGCGAGTTGATACGTGTTGGTTGGACATATTGCTCCTCCAATATTGATTGTTGATGATGATTGAAATTATCTATGACATTTTCAGATAATGATGAAAAAGAATTTTGTTGTTGTTGATCCATCCATGATGATGATGATGATGATTGCTGCTGCTGCTTAGATTGATATTGATGATAGGAAAAAGGCGGTTGTGGTCGATGACTTTGAATGTTATTTGTTTGATCATGTTGAGGGATTAGCCCGCGTTCACTTTGGTTTGGACATAAATACGATTGATGATGGTGAAAAGAAGTTGAAGGATGTAGATGTTGATTTTGAGAAGATTCGGAATGTGAAAGTCGATGGTGATTCGATTCATGATGATGTTGATTGGAATAGTAATTGGATGATTCGTGTTGTTGGTGTGAATGATGAGCTCGTTGTCGTTGTTGTTGATTGACCATCAATGCTTTAATTACATCAGATGGAATCTCTAAACCGGCCATTTTTGCTTCTTTTAGTATTGTTTTTATAGATTTTGGACGACCACGGCCCCGTTTCATAACTGTTGTGGCCGATGACAACGAGGTTGATGATAGTGAATGATCTAGACCGGGTATTCTTGATATTAATGATGCCCATGATAAGCTATCAACGCTGTTACCGCATGATGATGACGGTGATTTAGCCAATAATGATTGAATCAATGATTTTGATATTGAATGTTTGGAATTAGATTCACCATTCTTATTACTATTAGTATTGTTGCTATTGGCACTTGTGGCTTCATTTAAACGAGGTCGACCACGAGGACGTTTGCCGATTCCAGCTGTCTTATTCGAATAGGCTTGCTGATGATGATGATGATGATGACTAGCTAGAAGACTGTAATGGCTATCTGACATGTGGTAGCGTTGATCCATCAAAGAATTTGAGTTTCCTGGAAAAGCATATGGATCGACAGCTTGTTTGTTACCTGTCAGAAAAGGAATTAACTTATCAAAAACAGCAAAATAAACTTTAAAAAATTACCTGAAAAGGAAGCAGATGAATTAAGATCATCACTTCCAGAGATTGATGACTGCAATTTAGGCTGCATCAATGATGAAAATTCAAATCTATCATCATCATCCTCATTAACGTGATGTCGACTTCGTTGATCGTATGTCAATGTCGTTGTAGGTGGCGATGAACAATCATACATAGAACTTATCGATGACAATGATTGTGGCATTGTACGATCGATGGGAGATTGATTTAATGAACTGTTCAATGATGATGATTGCGGTGATGAACTGGATGAATTAGAATTCTTTTTCGGTCGACCACGTTTTTTACGTTGACGCATTTCACCTAATTTTGGATCGAATACTAGATTTGGATCTAATAAGGGCGAATATTGATTATGGGATTTATTATTGTTGGCATGAGAATCAGACGACAATGTAGCTGCTGCCAATGATGATATAGGATTATATGATCCTCTAATATTGCATGAAGGACCATCATCATTCACATTATGATTATTGACGTCTGATTGTTGATATGATAATTCCGTTGTTGATGTTGATTGCTGATGTTGCTGCATTGGTTGATGTCGGGCACTCATCTGTGCCATTTCATCCAGATATGATGATAATCCACTAAAACGTGTTTCCATACGTGAAGATAATGCAGCATTATAGTTAGTGATTCTATTATTATTATTGGGAAAACTATTGCTCTGCAATAGTTTATCACAATCATCGTCATCAAAATTAAATTTGTCGACAATTGTGCTACTATTGTTACTGGACATTGGCATGAATGGATCGATGGTCGTTGCTATAGCGTTTGCCGATTGTAGATCCAAGGTCGATGGTGAATGCTTAATCGACAATGTTTTTTGCGACATGATTGTTGTAGGATTCCGATTAGGAGTTTGTTGTAAAGAATAAGGTGAATTTGTCGATGTTTCTTCATGTTTAACATGAATAAATAATGGATTAAGAGGCAAATGAGCTGGACTATCAACATCATTGTTGAACAATTTCATCGATGAACCATATTGTGATTGTGTTTGTGGCGTATTGGGATTGGTTGTGCCAACTGAATATGGAGTGGATGGACAACTAGATGTTGATGATGATTGACAACGGCCAGGTATACTTCCAATACTGGTCATTGGTGATGTTACTGGCGAAGATTTATTGTTATTGATCAATGTTGATGATAGATGTGATTTTTGGCTAAAGTTATTTGCAGTTTGATTTTGTGAAGATGATGATATAATAGATGGCGGTGTCACTGAACAAGATGTAGATGATGATGAGGCTATTGATGAGATCGAATTAGGTTGTGGTACTGAATATGGTGACGATATATCGGCCGATGAAACCGATCCAATAGATGTGGATTCATATGGCCTTGAGTTCATTGTTGATCCATTTTTCGAATGAAGAATAAGATTATCATTGGTCATATTTGAATGAAATTCATTCGAATTTTCACCAGTGTTTGACGAAAGATTTGTATTGATATTATCGAGTAAAGGCGAAAAGTCAGTATTGTCGAATTCATCGGAAAGTAATGATGAAGAGGAAAGGAAATCATTTACAATAAATTCGTTTAATGTGGACTGAGATTGAGATGATATAGTAAATGGATTCAGATCATTCATCCATTGATGAGCATCGGAATCCATATGAGATTGTGTTTGCGGAAAAGAAGCGTGCACATTTGTCGTTGAATTGTGCGCATCTATAAATCTGGAATCAACATTGGCCATTTTGGCTCTGGATACAAATGTATCACCTTTTTCATTGAACGATGGACTAGTAACTTGTTGTTGTTTGTATTGTTTAAATAGACTTAGATGGGCAGCAGCAGCTGCTATAGATGCCTGTGAAAATTTATCTGATTGATGGTGATAATTACTGGCTTGATCACTATTCAATATGGATGATGAAGGTGATGATAGAGATGTTGATGAAGAAGATGATGACAATGAAGATCGAATTGATTGATCTGGAAAATGATGATTAGAATGATGAGAACGGGGATTAATTAATGAATTTCGTAACTTGACCGGATGATGATGAGCATTATCCATCATCATTGTCATAGATGGTGAATTGTGAAAATTCGATGATGAATAAGAGTTGTCTGATACAGCCATTGATCGAGCAAATGGATCCATCATGGATGATGAACTTGTTCTGCCGAAATTATTATCAATGTATGTCGCATTACCGAAGTCGGTATTACCGTTTAACATTGTAGCAGCAGCAGTAAATGTAGCCGTTGATGACGAGCTTGATAAATTTGTATGCATTATGGTAGTTTGATTTTTGGGATTTTTGATTTCGATTAAGTAAAAATAAAATACGAATAAAACACAAATTTTTTTTACAATAACAAAAATAGTAACAATAATGACAATGACCACCAACACCAATATGATGACATTATTGTCTGTATCAACGATGGTAAGGTCGGTAAATACGGCGACCACAATGTGATGATGTCATCATAATAATTTCATTATTATTTTTATCATTATCCTAGTTGACATCCTTGATGACGATAATGAATCCATTGTTGTCAAAACAGGAAAAAATTGATTTAAGAAAAAGTTCCAAGAATTTGTTGTGGTCATTTTGTTAATATGATGGCCATCATCAAATATTAAACGAACAAACATGAGAAGAATTAATGTTGTCACATAACCGATAGATGATTTTCGTTCAAAGATATGGTTGTCTGAATGTCTCAGGTGTCTTGTTCGATTTGATTGATGGCAAATTTACGTTCATTTCTTTTTTTCGCTTAACTTGATGGCTATTCAATAAGATGACGATTTATACGTGCTTATTTGCGCCATGTCTCTCTTTAGGATTCAACAAGTAGATACAGCATCAAATTTGTTCGTTCTAGGACGATGACGACGACGACGACGACAAAGACGCCGATGATGATGAAGATGATGATTATGGCATTACGACGAAACTAACAATCAGAAAAGATGAAAAACAGGGACATATGAAAGAGAGAAAAAACTAGTTAGTTGAAGATATTCACTAAGGATTGCCATGATGATGATCATCATCATCATGGCGATTGATGAGAGAAAAATTGAGAAAAATGATTGAAAAGGAAAAAAAATAAGGATACTTTTACTATGACTACAACTATTATTTTATGGATACTCAATACAAGTATGTGTCTCTCAGTGGTTTGAGTTTTGATTTCGATCATTGGTCGTAAAAGGGAAAGAAATAAAAATGAAATCAAAGTGAAGGCGATGATTATGACGATGAGGCCGAGGCCAAAAAAAAAAAAAAAATCTGACACCAACAAAGACGTTCCAATCGCGTATGTATATGTTTTAATCATATATCATCTTATTCAACATGGCAAAAATGAAAATCAAAGAATATCTTCAATGCAATGAAAAAATACAAATGGAATAAAATTTTTTCCAGGATCAGAATAAAAACAACAAATTTCAACAATAATCAAAATCATTTAAAAACAAACAGAGAGTGAGAAAAGGAGCTATGTAGTTCCGAGTCATTAACCTAAGTGGGGTAACCATTATCATTTCCAATCCAATGAATTTTGTCGGTATCAACTAGTTAACGTGTCTATTTGTTTGTTTGTGTGTGTGTGTGTGTGTAGTTATTAAACGCAAATAAACAGATCAATAGACATGATAACAAATAAATCTAAAAAAACGTTGACAACGCTGTCAACCATCATATTCTGTTCACATTTGATTGACGACAGCAAAAATATTTCAAAATTGTCAATGTTGAATGACGATCATAGAAAGATTGAATAAAAAAAACTGTATTGTTTCATTTATATAAAGGTATAAAGCACATTAAATGATTAAACGATATATGTTGATAAACAATTTAAACGATAACGAAAAATCAATTGAAACTAAACAAAAAAAATGTCATTCAAATTTCAACTTTGAAAATTTGGTCTGACTATATTATTATTCTTTATATATTAGTATTGACGTTTGAATTCTAATGCAAATTTTGTTAAAAGAAATCTAGAATAACATTTAACGATTCAGAATTTTTCACTAGAAAAAGCTATTGCCCAATGTAAAATCGAATACTTAAAAATAAAAGTACTATCATATATCAATAGTGGTCATCATGATGATAATACTTGATTGTTCGATTTTCCCATATTATAGGAATGGGTAAATGATAATAGTGTTAAAGAATGACGACAAATGGGTAAAAATTCTTTAAAGCTAGAAAAAAAACTAAAAACATTCACATAATTTACAATAATCAACAATTTATTCAGAAAAATCGTAGATAGCATTACCTTAAATTTTCTTACTTCATGCATTATACAGGAAAGATCACTATATATATATTAGAGGCTTAAGTTCTATAAATAATTACAACGTGTGGATAAAGACAGAAAAAAGGGTGCCTATTTTCTCTATGCATCAACAAAAACGACTACATACATATAAAAAAAATGGTTTCAAGTTTCTTAACGTCTCTCAGTGTATGTGTATATGGTTATTCTTGTCATTATCATTCAACCAGAGAATTGAATAATAACAATTTGGCAAAGCTAACAAGCAAAAAAGAAGAGCTGAATCAATAGTTGGCTGCATATGACATTCAAACAAAAATCCATGCAAGTAAATGAACGAATAGAAAAAAAAATTGCTCCAAGCGTAGCCGAATGACAGTAGCAGAGCTTGTATTGTGTAAATGTATCCTTCGAAAGCATCAACATCATCATCACAACATTTGTTATCACTCTATTTGAATTTAATATCTCAAAGTTTTATTCATATCTGGTTATGTGCATATATGTGGTTAGTGTTTGCGATTGACAAAAGACAACAATCAATAGATTTAAAAGCATTCACGATACGATAATCAATCAATCAATGTTATTTATCGATTTACATTCATTCATTCATACAACAAACACACAATCATAACCATTTTGCAATAGTTTTCAAGTTGACAGAGAATGCTTTCGCAAGGTTGTATAGAATTGAATTCTTCTTGCAGAAATACGAAAGAAAATTCTTTCTTCAAATTGAAATGAGAGAAATATGAAGTGAGATTTAGAATATTGGGAAGAAAAAGATGATTTGAAGAATCCGAGATGTGACCACAATTGATAAAGAGTTTTTTCCATTCTTATTAATATTGTCCATAGACATTCTGAATAGATTTCTCAAAACTAAAATAAAATTTCTGTAAACTTTACAATGATTATAATAGCAGTTTGTCGTTGTTCATTTGTTTGTTTGTCCGTTTCAGAATTGACTTTTAAATAGTTCTCGGATGTTTAGTTTTTTTGTTGTCTTCCAGCTATCTATCTGTCTATTTCAATATGTCAGTATTGTTAGATTTCACTAAACTCCATGAAACTTTACAACAAATGGAACGAAAAAACTTTATACAAACTGAATGAATGATACCAAATACTACGAACAAAATAAATGAATGAAATGAAAACAAGCAGGCAATCGATCCAAATTGATGACGCCAGAATGGAACAAGAAACTTTTCATACCACCACCTTTGGACAAAATAGCCAAAAAAAAAAATGTTTTAACAAGCTAATGGTATTGAGTCGGAACACACATACAAAGAAAAGGAAACCATTTGGGCCAACAACCGAATTGGCTTTGGCTCTCTCTAAAGTGTTCAAGTAAACACTACACTGATAACACAAATTGGATGAACATGCGAATTCGCGTATAAAAAGAGCCCCGTTTTGTGTATTTCCACATGGCAGTTGGCTGGTAGTTCCATTTGGAACAGCTAAAGTGCCTAAGTATTATTATTAGTTCTATTAGTGAACATGACATGTTTAGGGCTTCTAAAGAGAAAAGCTTCAACATATTAAGGACGTGTGTGCGTATGTAATCGTGATCATAAATGGTCGCCATGATGATGATGATGATGATGACAATGGTGGTGGGCGCCAATCAACTAACATAACAAGACTAAGCTCTATCTGTCTATCCAATTTTCGGCCACGATCATCATCATAGTCGAGTTAGCCCTAAATGAACATTGTCACCATTGTCAGCCAACATGCTGTTATCGAACAAAAAACAGCATTAACAATACTAAATTCAACAACAACATTGTAATGCAATATCATTGATATCAAGCATACAAACATATGGCGCCCGCATTAAAATCAACCGTGGCAGGCTAAAGTACTGTCCAAACATAACACAAACCAGACAAAAATCGAAAGATAGGCTACTGCTTTTCTAGGTTGATTTGGCAGAATGCTTACTGCAAACATGAAACGGACAATCAAGCAAATAGGACGAGAGATACCAATGGATAAATGATGAAAATCTCTGGATGTCATCGACATATATAAAAAGAAATATATACAGGGAACCATCATGAGGATGGGCCATTTACTAACGTCGACAATACTAACGAAATGTTTGAAGTGCGAAAGAGGCCCATTTACTCATAAAACAAATGGAAATGGCATTGAAACAAGACACAATATATATATTCTGCATTATTATTGCTGTTGACATATTACATACTTTTTTAAGTTGATGCTGAACCAAACTAGTCATTGGATGATTTCTATGAACTAATCTATGTTATCAACGGTGTTGATCATAGATACCGATAGAATCGTAACAATGTACAATTGACACACGGTTAGATTATGAACTCATTGTGTTGTGAATGTAACTGGATTTTGATTCGATTTTGGAAATTTCAAATTAGTTGGTCAAACAACTGAAATTCGGTTCAATACCTAAGACTGCGATTGAGTCGATTCATTCAATTGTTATTCAATGATTCAGTATGTGTCAATTATGGAACTTGTCAATTCGTTGATATTGACTAGAATTGACATATCATCATATATTATATATAGAAGAGTTAAAAGAAGAATAAGTCAAACAAGACAGAAAAACTGGCTCTATTTTAATTGTATCTACTAAAGTCTATTAAGAAA